AGATTGAAATTTTGCCACGCACCTTCTCAGACCACAATGGACTAAAAATAAACATCAACACCAACAAGTTTCCCCCAAAACCCAAAAGACATGGACACTAAACAGCATGATGCTAAACAACTCCTGGGTCAATGATGAAATCAAAACAGAGATTAAAAGATACCTGCAAACAAATAAAAATGAAGAAACAACTTACCAAAATCTCTGGGATGCCATGAAAGCTGTAGTAAGAGGAGAATTCATATCTCTACAAATGCACATGGAGAAAATGGGAGGATCACAAATTAACAGCCTAACAAGTCACATAAGGAAGCTGAAAAGCAAGACCACCAAACTCTAACTTCAGCAGAAGAATCCAGATCACCAAAATAAAAGATCAAATCCAGGACATAGAAGACAAAAAGATAATACAAAAAATCAATGAAACAAAAAGCTGGTTCTTTGAAAGGATAAACAAGATGGTACCCTAGCTAGACTGACAAAGAAAAAGAGAGAAAAAGCCCAAATAAACACAATCAGAAACACAAAGAATGAAGTCACATCTGACCCTGAAGAAATTCAAAAGATCATTAGAGACTACTGTGTACACTTGTATGGAAACTAACTTGAAAACCTTAAGGAAATGGAGGATTTTCTGACATTACACAACCTGCCTAGGTTGAAACAAGAATAAATTGAGACCCTAAATAGACCAATAACAATCAAGGAAATTGACTATGTAATAAGAAAACTATCTACAAAAGAAGCCCTGGACCAGATGGCTTTCCAGCAGAATTCTATAAGACATTTAAGGAGGAGCTGATACCAATCCTACTGAAAGTATTCCAGGTGATTGAGAAAGATGGAACTCTCCCCAAATCATTTTATGAAGCCAATATCACATTGATACCCAAGCCAGGTAAAGATCCAATAAAGAAAGAGAACTACAGGCCAATATCTTTGATAAACATAGATGTTAAATTCTCAACAAGATCCTAGCAATCCAGATTCAACAACACCTCAAAAATCAGCCATCATGACCAAGTAGGGTTCATCCCTGGGATGCAAGTCTAGTTCAACATTCGTAAGAACATAAATGTAATTAAATACATCAACAGACATCAAAACAAAAACCACATAATTACATCATTAGATGCAGAAAAAGCTTTTAGTAAAATCCAGTACCCCTTCTTGATAAAAACCCTTGAACATCTAGGCATATGTGGAACATACCTCAAGATAGTAAAAGTCATCTATGAGAAACTCACAGCCAGCATACTCCTAAATGGACAAAAATTGGAACCATTTCCCCTGAAAATTGGAGCAAGACAAGGATGCCCACTCTCACCCCTCCTGTTCAATGAAAAGAAATGAAATACTTTTGCATCTTCCTAACCAGAGACGTGAAAGCTACAATGAAAACTACAAAACACTGCTTAAAGAAATCAAAAATGACACAAACAAGTGGACAAATATCCCATGTTCATGGATTAGAAGAATCAACATTGTTAAGATGTTCATCTTACCCAAGACAACCTATAGATTTAACACAATACCCATCAAATTACCAGCAACATTCTTCTCAGATCTAGAGAAAACAATACAGGAATTCAAATGGAAACACAAATGACCAAGAATAGCCAGAACAATCCTCAGCAAAAACAAACAAACAAACAAACAAACAAACAAAAAACACAGCAGGAGGTATCACACTACCAGATTTTAAACTTTACTATAATGCTACAATAATCAAAACAGCCTGGTATTGGTACAAGAACAGGCATATAGATCAATGGAATAGAATTGACATTCCAGAAGCAAAACCTCAATTTCTCAACCAACTCATCTTTGACAAAGCCTCCACCACCCACCCCTGGGAAGAGGAGAACCTATTCAGTAAATGGTGCTTGGAAAACTGGCTGACCACATGCAGAAGATTCAAACAGGACCCCTATCTATCCCAATACACAAAAATTAACTCTAAATGAATGAGAGACATAAATGTAAAAACCTCAAACCCTAAGAACTTTAGAAAATGCAGGACATACCATTATGGAAGTTCAAACTGGCATTCAATTCCTGATCAAAATCCCAAGTACCCATGCCAGAAGAGATAAGATAGACAAGTGGGACCTCATCAAGCTGACAAGCTTCTGCAAAGCCAAAGAAACCATCAAGAGAGCAGGGAGACAGGTCACAGACTGGGAAAAAGTATTTGCCAACTTCATGTCTGACAAAGTCCTAACATCAAGGATCTACAAGGAACTCAAACGTGCTGAAAAGAAAAAAACAAATAACCCCATTACAAAGTGGGCAACACATATGAACAGACATTTCTCAAAAGAAGACATATTAGCTGCCAACAGATACATGAAGAAATGTTTGACCTCACCAGTTATCAAGGAGATGCAAATTAAAACTACACTGAGATACCACCTAACTCCAGTCAGAATAGGCCATTATCAATAACAAAAAATAACAGATGCTGGAACGGATGGGGTGAAAAGGGAACACTTCTACACTGTTGGTAGGAGTGTAAACTAGCACAGCGTCTGTGGAAATCAGTGTGGTGATTCCTAAAAGCTCTAAAAATCAACATTCCATAATGACCCCGCAATCCCCCTACTGGGTATATACCCTGAAGAACTCAAATCACTCTATAAACAAGATACCTGCACATGTATGTTTATCACGGCATTGTTCACAATAGCAAGATCATGGAACCAACCATGCTGTCCATCAAAAGAGGACTGGATTAAAAAAGTGTGGTACATATACACAATGGAATATTACACAGCCATGAAAAAGAACAAAATCATGAATTTTGCAGCAGCCTGGATGGAATTTGAGTTTATAATACTGAGTGATCTCTCACAGAAACAAAGTTTTGAGTACATAAAATGTAATCTAAACTGATGTTCTCACTCATAAGCGGACCTTGAACAACTACCATAATACTATATGAAAAGGATTGATAGTGGTGGGAAACTATGAGGGGGCAGGGAGGGGAAGGGAGGTGGGATTAACGGTAGTCAATATCTGTCTGGGGAAAGGGGGCACACCATATCAATAAGGGTATCTGCACAGTGAATATTTGTATACCTAACCCTTAACTGTACCCCACAATTTTAAAATAAAAAACCATTTTTTTTAATGTCAGAGAGATGTTGGCAAGGCTGTGAAGAAAAGGGAAGCTTCTACTGTTGGTGGGAATGTGAACTATTTCAACCTTCATGGAAAGCAGTGTGGCATTTTCTCAAAGAACTAAAAATTGAGCTAAAATATGATCCAGCAATTCCATTTCTGGGAATATGCCCAAAGGAACATCAAATTCTCTACCAAAAGGACACCTATGCCCTATGTTCACTGCAGCACCATTCACAATAGCAAAACCATGGAACCAACCCAGATGCCCATTGAAAGTAGACAAGATAAAGAAAATGTACATATACGTGATAAAGTATTATACAGCCATAAAAAAAGAACAAAATCAAGCTTTATGCATGATGTGAACTATCACAGAAATAAAAAAATGAATACCACATGTTTTCACTCATAAGCAAGTACTGATCATGGAACACAGAAGCAGAAATGTGGAAAAAACAGTTGCTGAACACTGCTAACAGAGGGAGGGAAAGAGGAGTGATAAGGGGCACACAACCATATACTGGGAACCAGGCCCACTACCAAGGGGACAGAGGGCTCCCCAGAGGCCCAAACCTCACCTGCACACAATCTACTGACGTAGTAAATCCTCATATGTATCCCACAACTTTAAAATTAAAAAAATAGATAAACGTTAGGACCAAAAAACCTTAAAATAATATTGAACCCACTATTTGGTTTAATGTGGGGGTATGTGTTAACATTTTAAATTTGTAACATTCTGTTCTCTTTTCTGTTGGATAATTCACTAAGTGACAAAAGTTAGCCCTCTATTGCGTCTATAACAAAGCAGACTTATGCAATGACCTACTTAAATAACTACTGTGACCCATAAAATGTAATCTAAAATCTTTTATATGTTGTTCCATAATTGTTAGCCTCTAGATAATATTCAAATGGACATCTCTGGTTTCTGAAATATAAATTGGGGGCAGCTCCTTCGGGTCACCTCCCACTGTGGGAGCTTTTCTGTCCTCTCAAAAAATTCTGCTTTCAAAAAAAAAAAAGAAATATAAATTGGTTCCCAAAATTTTATTATAAAAATTTTCACACATTCTGAAGAGTTGAAATAATTTTTATAGTGAACGTCTGTATATTTATTATCTAATTATATTAATAAAATCATCTAATACTTTATCATATATCTATCCATATATATCCTATTTATTTAGCTTTCTTTCTTATTTTTATGCATTGCACAATAAATTACAGACATCTCTATGTAAATACATGCATATACTTTTATTGTTTGTTTGCTTGCTTTTTGAGAAAAGCCTCAAAAATTTTTATATATAAATAAACTGGATTCTTGTAGTTTTATTATTCTATTACTAATGTGTGTAAATGATTACTATTACTTCTCTACACAAAATGTTCCTTTTTTTCTGTGAAATGGAAACAAATCTAACAGCCCAAGAGGTATGAAATAGATATGATGTTTAGGAAATGAGAAGAAAAGACTGAATAATCACCAAAAATATGAGAAAAGACTGACTTCTAGTGCATAAGAAGATTGCCAAGTAGTGCAGTCAAGAATTGATACCATCTTTTGGAAGTGGCACCATTATAAATGTTTGTATTATGTTCCTCACCAATCCAAATAGAAGTAGAAGGGCAAGATGGTTGGATTAATCCGTGTTGAGTAGATGTCACTGGAAGTCTGTGAGGCAAGAGAGTTGAAGGTGTTGAAAAGAGAAAGTTAATAGTGACACATTTTCACTAGTTGAGGTTTCTCAGTTGGAGAAAGGTGAAAGTAAAAATTGGAAGGGTCTGTTAAACTTTGAATACAAGGAGGGAGGAAGGGAAAAGTGATAGATTATTATTATTATTATTATTATTATTATTATTATTTTCTCAGAAAGCAGAATGTTTTAATATTCATCAGGTAGACTCTCACCAGTGTAAAGAACCAAAAACCTTGATCTGGTGCCTCTGCTCACTCATTGCAGACCATTTTGAATTCCTAAGGTGTAATTATACATTTCACATACATTTGTGAGATAAACATTATGTTTATATCCCACATGAATCAGGCTTAAAGGTTTTCTAAATACTGTGTGTGGCACTAGAAACTTCATGCTGTATCAAGTCATTATCAGTATTAAGCTACTGGACTATATAATGAAATATTATGGACACTTACTGAAAACCAATATAAAAATCTGGCCCAGAAAGACCAGAACAAAATATGCAATTTTCTTGATTTAAGATGGTCAAAAGTGTTTTTTTTAAAAAAGCTCTACACACTGTTTAAGACAAGTATGTATAAGAAGCCTTTTTGTGTGTGCTGACTTTGTCATGACAACTCTAGCTGATTCTTTATGAAGGATTAGGGATATACATCTTCAGCAGTGCACATCAGAAATAAACTCTGAAAAAGGCAATTTATTGGGTTTAGGAAGGACCGTATTCTGGGAAGTACTTCAGAGGAACGGACAATAATTCTAGGATTATAGCCAAGAAGGACTGGAAGACTTCAGGAGATGCTTCAGCTTCTTCTAGATTTTGAATGTTGAATAAGCCACTGAAGTGTGATATCTATATTATCCTTTTATCTGCAAGAAATTGAATGGCAGCACATTTCTCTATCCTGAATAGCTGACAGATTCATTTGCTCAATTAGCTGTTTCTCATCCAAGGCATTAGGACGATCTCTCTTGTTTCCAAGAACTAGCACTGGAATTCCTTGTAACTGTGGTTTATCGAGAAGATTACGTAGCTCATTTCGGGAAGCTTCTATCTTTTCACGATCTGCAGCATCTCTCCTGTAAACAACAGCGTTGACTCTTCTGCAATACCGTTCCCACGTGCTCCGAAATCGAGGTTGTCCACCTAGGCCCCAGATCTTTATGGTGACGTTACCTTTAGTTACCTTCCTCCTGCTGAAGCCCACGGTGGGTATCACGTCTTCACTGAATTGACCTGACGCGAGGACACTGACGAAGGTGGTCTTGCCCGAGCACTGCAGCCCCGCTCGCTCAGCTCCATCTCCTCCTTCCAGAAGAGCGAGCGGAACCAGTCCAGCAGGCGGGACACGAGCGCCAGCCCGACCGCGGCCGGGAAGGAGGGCGGACATGGGGCGGGCGGCGACGGCCGCAGCCAGGGAGCCGAGCGGGTCATCGCTAGAAGATTATCATCAGACCCCAGGTATGATGGGAGTGAGAGAGAGAACTTGAAGGACATGAAGCTTTAGTCAATCATTATTAATCTCAGAGATGGAGAGCGAGGACGTCTTGTAAGATGAGGTCAGGAATGTGGCGGATGAAAGAAAGAGGACAGCAGAAAATCAGGGTGTCGGAATGTTTTGACATTGGAGTTTTCATCAAATGATACGAGTAAGGATTACGCTGATGACTCAAGTGCCAAAGCTTTGACCAAGAGATGGGCCTAACCACGGTTGATAAACAGGGAGTGGGGTCTTGGAAGAATTGTACATTTTCCTCTTTGATGAGGGCTGTGAAAAAACCTTTGCCTCTCCATTTGGGCTTTTGCGTATAGTTGTTCAAGGGGTTGTTATTGATTGTTGTTGTTATTGGAGATGTTGCAGCAATCTGGTAGCCAGTGGAGGAAGATCCAAAGAATTGCTGAGAAGGTATCTCAGAGTTCTGTCATGGTTGAACTGCTGAAAAACTTACAACTGCCTACCTTAACCCCTTATGTCATAACTCGGCCAATCACCCAGAACCTTCCTACCCCATGCTTATAAATGAGCAGGAAGTTGTAAGAGGAGCACAGACAGAAGGGGTAATCCTTTCCAGACATCTTCATTCCCCAACCTGGGGTAGCCTGATTTGAGAACAGAGTTGACAGCTCTTAACAAATGATAATTTTAGAATATGCTGGTAAAGGAGTAAAATTTAATAATTAATCATAATGAGTTCCATGAGTCATTGCTTTAAAATTTTGTATTTTTCTCTCTGTGTAAATTGACCTGAGAACCCAAGGGACAACATTAAAAGTTAAGAGTGTTAAATGCCAAGGGACTGCAGATTTGTTTAGACTTACCTGGATTTAATGAGAATGTGGCCCAATTATTATGTATATGTAATTAAGATTTAGGGTTAGTTTCCTCCTTTATACACTAAAGAGTTACTAAATATAATTCTTTATAGGCAACTTCTTTAAATTACAAGAATATGGGTCTCCAAGAGAGTGTGGATAATGGATTCATATCAGGTAAGAACCTTTTCTTTTCTGAAGAGATGGCATATTACTTATATTTCAAATAGACACCCTAGGGGAATACAAAACTTAGACATGTGGCCTACAATTCCTTTGATACTCATGCTAGACAGCAACAAAGTCACTAGATCAAGTCTCAGTATTGTTTTCCAGTTTCCCAAGACATGCATCACTCACTACAGCCAAGAACTTGGTTGATGACTAGAATCAAATGGGGCTTAACAGATTTTTGTTGTTGTTTAGATCCCTGACTTCAAGTTGGCCCAATATCAGATTGCTGCTATTAAAATACAGCTTTTTCTTGAAGTCTCCTCTGATCCACTTCATTTGCTCTTTATTCTCCAGGATAATCCATGTTTTATCTCTCTCCTTAATGCATTTAGACAATAACTATAATTTGTGTTTCTAGCTAAATAATCAGTATAATGTTAATACTCACATTTTAAGCTTTTAGCACATGCCAGGGACTCTGCTGAGTGCTTCATGTACATTAGATCCTCTAAATCTACACAATAGCTCTATGAGGTAGGTACTATTGTTATTCTCACTTTACAGGTGAAGAAGCTGAGTTTTAGTAGGTCAGGTTACTGATTCATGCCCCAAGCTTATGAATGAGAGGTAAGTTGGTAAAAGGAACACAGACAGAAGGCAGGGGATATCTTTCCTAGACATCTTAATCCCCCAAACTGGGATAGCCTGGTCTCAGAGCTGAGTTGACAGTATTGTCTTGTGATTAGCATGTAATAAAGATAAAATTTGAACCCCTTATTCTGATCCAGAGCCCATATTTATAATCACTGTTATAACAATTCCTTATTATTAGACCAAGGAATTGTGATCAGAGTCAGTATCTGCTCTTCAAAATTATTCCCAAGCCCTTAGTGCTCTGCTATTACTCTGCAACCTGTGAGGACTAAGACATAGGAATCCCCATTCTATTACAGCCTCCCTGTCTTAGTCTGATTTGTGTTGCTACAACAGAATACTTGAGACTGGCAATTTATAAAGAAAATAAGCTAATTTGACTTACAGTTCTGGAGGCTGGGAAGTCAAGACTGGGCAGCCCATCTGGTGAGGGTCGTATGCTGCTTCAATTCATGGAAGAAAGTGGAAGAACATGCAAAGAGACATGCAGAAGAGGCTGATCTTGCTTATAACAACTAGTCTCTTGGAAACAAATCCATTCCAGTCAGAATTAGTATTCTCTCCCTCCTGTAAGATGGCATTAATAAATAAATGGAGAGCAGTGCCCCATGATCTAAACACCTTCCACTAGGCAAAACCTACCAACATTGCCATACTGAGAATCAAATTTCAACATGAGTGTTTGGTAGGAGCTAACCATATCCAAATCATAAGTTAAACCCAAAGTTAAAGAGGCAGGGCAGGAATACTTCAAAAGCTTGGCACTATCTTCTTTGTATCCACAGAATGTCACATAGTACCTAGCATAAAGTAAGTATGTAATGAATAAATATAAATAATGGACCCAGTTCATACAGCATTTAAGAAAAAGCAATGCTTTACTGTAGTGGCCACCCCTAAAATTCTTAAGAAAAACATACTTAGTGGTGAGTTGGAGAAATCCCCTAAAGTTCCTTTAAAATTTTCTAGGTGTATTTTTTCTAAAATAATGAGAAGTCTAGAAGTAAGAAGTCCAGGAATGATATCATAAATCAAAGATAACAAAGACTCAGGCTTCCTTGTGTCTTTCTGACTTACTAAATTTAGCCTGAGTTTTTTATCCTCATTGAAAAATAGTTTGGCAGATATGTAGACCAAGAAAATTATGTGTTTGTTTTTATTTTTTATATTTCCTATTTCCCCCTTGTTAATTATGATTGTTCACCCTATTTTAAAAAGAGAAAATATTCAGATGGTCCTTTGGTTTCTATAAGATTTTTACTTTATAAAAACTCTAATATAAAACCCTTTTCTTATTTATCTTGGCCTCATATGGTATAATTGTGAAGAACATTATCATCAGGGCTGGTCCATTCCAAACCCACAAAAACTTCAGTTTCCTATTTCACTAGCATTTTTCTCACCATGACCTCAGAGGGAGGGAAGAAACTATAAAAGAAAGAAGAAAGGAAAAATAAAGGAAGAAAGAAAGAGAGGGAGGAAAGTAAAAGAGAAAAAGAAAAGTGGGAGGGGGAGAGAGAGAGAGAGAGAGAGAGATGAGAAAGACAACAAAGACAGAAATAAGATGAAAGAAAGAAAAAATGAAAGAAAGGAAGGAAAGAAAAGAAGGAAGGAAAGAAAAAAGAGAAAAAGAAGGAATGAAAAGAAGGAAGGAAGGAAAAAGAGGAAGGGGAAGCAAGAGAGAAAGGAAGGAAGGAAGAAAATAGCTGACTATTAATGCTGTATTGAAGTCTGCATAACATTCTAGAAAGATCATACCTTAATATATTCAGGAGTTAAGCTAACTGGCTAATGGCATCTAGAATATTCCCTGGTTACAAAGAGAGGGCTAAGGTAAGTCTGTGTTTGTGCTAAAGCAAGTAGGATAAATTAAACCAAAGGATTAATTTCCTGCAACAATTGCCCTATTCTCCAAGAGGCTGGTTGATTTTTACCAACACCATCCTTTGGTTTAATCTCTCTGCTATTAACCTTTAGACTACAAAATGTGGTTCCCTGTTTCAAAACAAAACAAACAAAAACTTGAAAATATAAGACTGATTTCACAGAAGCAAATGAAAAGTCTGGCAAAAAAATTATGCAAGAATGCTCTGATGATGATTGTTTTAGTTATGTATGGCCAACGGCATAAATCTCTCCTTAGGATGACATCTTTTTGCTGCAACCAGGATAGTTGCACCTTTGTGAGCTGTCCAGGGTACTGAAATTCCTCGTTGTCATTATCTTTGATCCAATAGAGCAAACTCTTCCATTCTTGTGTCTGTTCCAGTTATGCTGCAAATACAGCATTAAATTCCATTTGCAAAATTTATAAGGTAAAGTATGTTGTAAGAGTAAAAGAAGGACAAATTTACCCATAAACCCATTATCTTCAAGCAAATATGAATAAAATCTAGGTTCATAGCTCTCTAGTCTTTTTTCTATATATATTTTCAAATATTTGAGATCATTCTGAGTAAGCAAGTCAATTTGTACATTTTTCATAGTGGCAGATATATTTCTTCTTATTATAAACTAATTGAATACAGTGTAAAGCAAATGCATAACATTTTCTGTTCCATAATTCAAACATATTCTGTTCCATAGTTGATCAAATCATGCTTATGCATTGGGTAGTCTTTTTATTTTAAGTACTAGTTGCAGCATTATAATAAATAGCTTTTGGATAAGTATTTCTTCAATATTCAGCATTTTGAATTGTTTTCATAGGAATTACTATTGAATATGCATTCCATGGAGTCACTTGCTAAGAGAAATGACAATTTTAAATCTCATAAAAAGTTGACAAATTACAGAATCTACTCTGATTCTCAAAAAAAAAAAAAAAAAGAAATTTCATGAAAAGCAAAACCATTATAGTGTTAAGATATGAGAGAAATTTTTTCTGAGGATTCTCAAAAAGATTAAAAACAAACATAACAAATCATATTCTTGACATCATCATTACAGTAAAAAATAATACATATCAAAAGGTTATTATTTATGAGAAAGCAATGTCAGCACACAAATATACCAACCTGTAAAAGGATGGAAAGAGAGTCAATATGATACTGTCTAGATAAATAACACTTTACCGGTATGGCTTAATCCAGCATAAAATTGGAAATACCAATAGGAATGGTAGACATTGAACTAGTTTCTACTAACTTTTACTTCAGAATTTTTGTTTTTTTTTGAGTTGGAGTCTCATTCCATTGCCCAGCCTGGAGTGCAGTGGCCACTCCTGGCCACTGCAGCCTTGACCTGCTGGGCTCCGGTGATCCTTCCACCTCAGCCTTCCGAGTAACTGGAACTA